GCACAGCGGAGCGAAAGGAGGAGGAAGTCCTACCTCCAGCAGGTGGCATAAAAGGATTCTCCACAGAAGGGAAGGCTGCCTACACACTAACTACCTCTCCCTGTGTGTGGGTGGGAGGGGATGCTGGAGACTGGGCTGGGGGTGCTCTACCACTAAGTTACACCACCAGCTCTTTTTACTTTGACACAGTATCTAAGTTACCCAGGCTAGCCTCACACTTACCATCCTCCTGCCTCAGCCTCCAAAGTCACTGGATGTACACACAAGTGTCACCACTCCTGACTCCAGACTTCACCATTCCACATTCAAGAACAGGGCATCCTGGTGGGACTGAACTGTGGAGTCCCTGACTTCACCTAGAGGGGGTGTGACAATCCCAGCACCTTTTATCAGGGGTTCACGAGCAATCCACAGGAGCTGCTAAGACCAATCCCCGCTGAACAACTCAGTTCTTCATAGGGCTCCTAGGTTAAATACCTCCACAAGCTAAGACTACCCCACAGAAGCCTGACGCAGCAGCAGCATGTGAAACACTGTAGTGCAGTCGGCCCAGGTGATGAAGCCACACACCACGAGTGGGCCAGAAATGGAAAAGCATTCTGAATATGAAAATATGACCACATGGGCTGGGGTTGTGGCTCAGCGGTAAGAGAGCTTGCCTAACATGTGCAAGGCCCTGGGTCCAATCCTCAGCACCACATAAAAATAAACAAACAAAATAAAGGTATTGTGTCCAACTACAACTAAAAAATAAATATTTTTTTAAAAAGATATGACCACACAGTGGCCAACGGAACCTCCCATCCCGTGGCCATATGACCCCTCCAGGGCACTGCTCACTGGACACCCACTTGACCAAAGGACTCACAGGCCACAACACCTCTTCTGATTCTGACAACCCTCTTTTCACAGATGGAAGACGTTAAACTTGGAAGTCACCCAAATGCCCAAAGTTATTCAGCATCCTCTTGTCTCAGACCAGAAACTAAAACTGTTGTTCTCCAAGTAAAAGACTACGGTCCTAAAACACTAGTGCAGTGGCAGTCACCTCCCTTTCACTGCAGAGCTCGTTTAGTGGTACCTGTCTTAAAAGCTCACCAACAATTCAGTGCAGCAGCTCTGGGCTCTGCTGTAGTTACCCCAGATAAAGTATGCTGTTTTCAGAAACTCTCCAAGAGAAGGGGCCAGCCAGGACCAGGACCAGGGAGAAGCAGCAACGGCCAACCTGGTGATCTGAAGCTCCTTCACTCTGGTGCAGCATCTGTCTAAGTGAGCAGAGCCGGAAGGCCCCTCCCAAGAGGACCCTAGAGAGGCAATCCCTCCACAATCCCCAACACTCTTCCTCAGGTCTCATCTCCATGAACACTCTCCCCTTTTAGATCTGAAGCCAACCAGAAATGGGATGGCATCATCCAGGTGATCTGGTGGTGAACAGGGAGTGACTAAAAACATATCTGTGACCCTCATCAGACTGGAAGGGGATATTCAGTAAAAGTTTTCCTAAATAAATAACACTAATTATCCAGCACTTAATGTACTTTTCATCAAAGAACTATTTTCCTGGCTGAAACAGACAAGAAGTTGAAGACAGTGTTAACTTTTTGCTCTTGGCCTTATTAAGACAGGCTAAGCATTACACATAAGAAAATAGACCACGAGACCCAACAGGAAACATGCTGGAATGCACAAGTCACATACTCAGGGAGAACTAGGATATAGAAGTCACATACAGTAGACAGTAAGAGGGCGAAGACTACACATGTTAGATAAGGGATGTCCCACCCAAAAGCCCTTGCCTGCACATACCTATCAGCACACAGTCCTAAGACATCTCTGATTCTCCTTCAAATACACATCTGAAAATGGAGAGCAAGACAGACTCAACTGCACCTAGACTAAGTACAGGCAGAACAAGACACCTACACAGCACGGTGCAGCACGGTGGCACACGCCTGTAATCCCTGTTACTCAAGAGGTTGAGGCAGGAAGATGGCAAGTTTGAGGCCAGCCTGGACAACTTAGTATGACCCGCTTCAAAATAAAAAGAATTGGGGATGTAGCTCAATGGTAGAACACTTACCTAGCACATATTAGGCCCTGAGTTCCATACCTAGTACAGAAAAAAGATAGAAAGAAGACAGGCAGGTAGGCAGCATGGACTATAAGGTCTGGTGGAGATAGCCAAAGCAAATTCAAGCCAAAAAAGCAAAGCTAGAGGCATCACAACACCTGACATCAAATTATACTACAGAGCTACTGAAACAAAAACTGCATGGTTCTGGCATAAAAACAGACATGTAGATGAGACGTACAGAAGAGAAGATACAGACAAACTCACAGATAGTCATCTGATCCTTGATAAAGTTGCCAAAGACATACACTGGAGAAAAGATAGTCTTTATAACCAATGGTGCTGGGAAAACTGGTTATCCATATGTAGAAGAATGAAACTGAGTCCTTTTCACTCAACACGCACAAAACCAACCCCAAAATGGATCAAAGACCTTGGAACTAGACCAGAAACTATGCAACTCTTACAAGAAAATGTAGGGTCAACACTCCCAATACACAAGCACAATAACTTTCTTAATAAGACCCCTAAAGCTCAGGAAATAATGCCAGAAGTTAATAAATGGAATGGCATCAAATTAAAAAGCTTCTGCACAGCAAAGAAAATAATTAAGAATATTAACAGAGAACATACAGATTGGATAAAATCTTTGCTTATTACTGTTCTGACAGAAGATTAATATCTACAATATATGAAGAACTCAAAAATTTATATAAAAAAATCAAATAATCCAATTAATAAATAGGGAAATGAATTAAATGGACATTTCTCAAAAGAAACATAAATGGCAAAAAAATACATGAAAAAATGTTCAACATCATTAGCAATTAGGGAAATGGAAATCAAAACTTCCCTGAGATTTCATCTCACATGAGGCAGAATGGCAGCCAAGAATACAAATAATAAGGGGCTGGGGATGTAGCTCAGTTGGCAGAGTGCTTGCACAAGGCCCTGGGTTCAATCCCCAGCGCCACAAAAAAAAAAAAAAAAAAAAAAAAAGAATACAAATAATAAGCCAGGCATGGTAGCACATGCCTGTAATCCCAGTGACTCAGGAGGCTGAGGTAGGAAGACTGTGAGTTCAAAGACAGCTTCAGCAACTTAGTGAGGCACTGAGCAACTCAGCTAGACCCTGTCTCAAAATAAAATATAAAAAGGGGCTGGGGAGGACTGAGGTTATGGCTCAGTGGTAGAGTGCTCACCTAACATGTGTGAGCAGCGGGTTTGATCCTCAGCACCACATATAAATAAATAAAATAGAGGTATTGTGTCCATCTACAACTAAAAATAAAATTTTTTTAAAGGGGCTGAGGATGTGGCCCAGTGGTTAAGCACTCCTGGGGTTCAATCCCCAGTACCAAAAAAAAAAAAGACAAATATTAAGCCAAAAAAAAAAAAAAAAGAACACAAACAATAATAAATGCTGGAGAGGATGTGGAGAAAAAGAACACTTTTACACCATTGGTGAGATTGTAAACTAGTACAACTACTATTAAATCAACATGGAGGTTCCTCAAAAGAGTAGGCATGGATCCATAATATGACCCACTCCTCAGTATTTACCCTGAAGAATTAAAGTCATCTTACTACAGTGAAACATGCATACCCATTTTTGTAGCAGAACAATTCACAATAGCCAAATATGGAACCAGCCTAGGTGTCCATCACTGGCTGAATAAATAAAGAAAAAGGAGCATATACACAGTGGAATTTTATTCAGCCATAAAGAAAAACAAAATTATGCCATTTACGGGAAAATGTTTAGAACTAGAAACCATTATGTTAAGCAAAAGAAGTCAAACTCAGAAGGTCAAGGGTCCTATGCTTTCTCTCACATAGAAACTAGAAAGAAAAAAGAAAAAGAAGTTGGGGGCAGATCTCATGAAAATCAAAAGCAGATCAGCAGAGGAAAGGGACCAAGGGGAAGGGGGCAAGTACTCGGAGTGAAATTGGCCAAATTATATTTTATATGGTATGCATGTTCAAAAATGTAACAACAAGTCTCACCACGATGTACAACTATAATGCACCAATAAAAATGTATGCAGTGAAGCACTAAGCAACTCAGTGAGATCCTGTCTCTAAATAAAATACAAAACAAGGCTGGGGATGTGACTCAGTTGTTAAGTGCTCCTGAGTTCAATCCCTGGTACAAAAAAAAAAAAAAAAATGTGGTGGTGGGAGAAGCCTTGGTAGAGGGAGCAAGAGTGCTCCTTTCATGAATTCCCAGTGATGAGCATCATATAAGCTGCCAACAAAGGCCACCTTCCAGGAGCCTGAGGCACAGCCTGATCCACGCAGGGAGGAACGCCATCACTGCGGGTAGACCATGCAGTCAGCTCAGACTTACACCAAGCACTCCTCACCCTAGCACAGCACAGTCCTTCCCACAGGCAACCCATCCAGCCTCCAGAGGCCTCAAGGAGATCTGGAACACAGTGCCCTCATCTGGAAGATGAAGAGTATCTGGAGGACAGACTGCCCAGCTTATGTGCTGGAGGAAACCAAGCGTTCCAACCAAGCGTTCCAACCAAGCCTCCGTCACGGTGGGCACTTCACACCTTGGTATCCCTCCCCTATGGAGGGTCCAAGAGCAGAGGCAATCCAGCTAGGAAAAAGCTTGGCAAACGTCAGCAGCTCCTTACTCTCAGCATAGCCTTAGCCAAAAAAGATAAAAATAAAACTACACTAAACATCCTGGGCCAAGGAGCAGAGTACCAGGAGTCAAGAAAGCACAGCTCCACCTTGGGATGAAAACCACAGGGACACCTCTTGTAGAGGACAGAGACCATGGGGACATCTCCTATAGGGCACAGGGACCATGGAGGGGAAGTAGGGACACTGACTATGGAAGCCATACGTCTTGTAGGGACGCAGAGACCAGAGGGCCCTCTAAGGGAGGCTTTGTCCTTACCCAAGGGAGGCTCACCTTTCCGAAGAACCCGCTTCTTTGCTCGAATGTCTGTTTCCAGCTCTGCAGCTCTGATGTAGATCCTGACAGACTGTGGGAGATGGCGGACAGCTTGGGCCACCACAGCCTTGGCTGTGTCCCCCGGCTGCAACCTGGCTGCTTCTAGCCAGACATCTTCACTCTGGGGCAGGAAAAAAAAAAAAGCAGTGAGGGCATGTACAGACTGGGAGCCACAGTAGAGCAGTAGGTACTTGGGGCACATATTTAATCAGTCAGCTTGGCCACGCACACCTACACCAGGACTCTCCCTGCAACACCAAGGCATAGAAACATGGCTGCCACATGTCTAACAAAAGACACGTGCAACAACACTTCTCAAAAAGAGTATAATTTCACTCTGCAGGGTTAGCCCACAAAGCAGAGACTGTATCTGATGGAAAGTTCTGATTTGTGCCTGATTCTTGGGTAAGTCCCCTTGGGTCCTTTTTCACTAGCAGTCTGCACAATAAAGTACATGGCACTCAATAAGGCTTCATGAAACTTTTTTTTTTTTTAGTTTTAAGTAGACACAATATCTTTATTTTGCATTTATGTGGTGTTGAGGATAGAACTCAGTGCCTCAAGCATGCTAGGCGAGCACTCTACCCCTGAGCCACAACCCAAACTCACTTTATAAAACTTTTTAAGCTTGTCTGGTCATTCCACCTTCAAAAATGCAAGACTGTCCAGGCGTCCACCTGTAATCCCAGCAACTCAGGAGGCTGAGTTAGGAAGAATACAACTTCAAAGCCAGCCTCAGCAACTTAGTGAGGCCCTAAGCAACTCAGGGAGACCCTGTCTCTAAACAAAATACAAAAAAGGCTGGGGATGTGGCTCAGTGGTCAAGTGTCCCTGGGTTCAATCATAGAATCAGGGGGAAAAAAAAAAAAAAAAAAAACACCCAAGCTAGACACGTGGTGGAGCACGCCTGTAATACCAGCAGCTCAGGAAGCTGAGGCAAAAGGATCACAAGTTCAAAGCCAGTCTCAGCAAAAGCAAGGCACAAGCAACTCAGTGAGACCCTGTCTCTAAAACAAATATAAAATAGGCCTGGGGATGTGGCTCAGTGTTCAAGTGCCCCTGAGTTCAATCACCAGTACCAAAAAAAAAGCACTAGCATACTCTAATATTCTCCTAAGTGTTAGCATTGTCCTTAGGTTTTTTACATCATGTGGCACAACAAACTACCCAGTTTCACTCTTACCTGCCATTAAAGGGAAAGGGGATCAGCTTCACTCCATGTGGAAACCAGAGAAGCCCACACCCTCCCCTAAGCCGCCTTACCCTCTGTACTTAAGGCAAAGGACTTGCTAGCTTTAGTCTACTCCTATAGGTATCCTGCATGGTATAGACAAACACACAGTCCCTCAGGTGTAGCAATCTTGATGCCATCCAGGAAAATACCCTACAATGGGCTTCACCTTGGGGCACATCTCTGTTCCCTTCATGATGAGGTTCCGAGCGACTTGTAGCTTCCCAGTCACTTCCTCCAGGCGGGCTGACGCAATCCAGGCTGGCGGGTGATGAGGGTTCGTCTCCCGAACAGACTTGAGGAGCAGTCGTGCCTTCTTGATGTCACTGTTGAGAGCAAAAATGCAGTACTGAGCCACACTGCCCGGGGAGCACCCAAGACCAAGAAGAAAGTGTCTATGTCACAATGTACTAAGCAATCGACTCAGCAATGCAAACCAACCAAAATTCCCGACAGCACTACTCCAAGCCTGTTTAACGTCCATGCAGATAATTCTGAACATCAAAAACCACTTTCTAGCTCAGCTAAGGCACTGACTTTGAATGATATGTATAAAACACTTAACACACCCACTCAAATGGAAAATATATACTTTAAAAGAAAAACCAAACTATATCATTTCTTAGAACATCTATCCCATATTTTGACTGCATATTGACAAAAAAAAAAAAAAAAAAAAAAAAACCTTAAAACATTCTAAGCAACAGGAGTTCCCTTCCCAAATGACCAACTCTGCACATCACTCACTTGATATCCCCGCCATGGGTGGGGATCATGGAGTTGAGATCCGTCAGATAGCCTTTAGGGTCCACAACAGTCTGTCCACTCACTGAATCAGACACCTGCAATACAAGACAAGCAGAAAATTAGCTGGACGCAACCAGGCACATGCAGAACAAATGCTCAAAGGGCCCCTGGAACAAGTCCTACCAAGAGCCCTGACCCAGTGGGGAGTCACGAAAAGAGGAAAATAACATTA